TAAGCCCTTAAACTACCCTTATATCCTTGATTTAAGGCCTTAAGGGCGGACACTGCCAGTGCAAATACGCTCTATTCATGGACGAGGGTGCCAAGAGCTCCTTGCTCCACAGCGGCATGCATTCGGTGTGCGACCGGAGAAATGTGTTGCCACAATTCTATACTTTCCGTTTCCTTTACGTTGGAGGCGTCGAGTTTTCCCTGTGCATAGTTTCAATTTTGGATGGATTAGTGAGCTTCTAGACGAAAAGCGGGCCCGACGCTATTTCTGATGACATTCGCGTAATCTCTTAGAGTCGGTAAAAACAGAGGCCGTTCCGTTCAGCGATATATTTGACTATAACGTCCGGCTTGCATTCAGCTTTGCGCCTATTTCGAAACTTTGGGGCCCAGCGAGCTCACGATATTCCCCCGTGGATGATCCATGTGATGTCCAGCTGACCAACATATCCGGAAAGCCACTTTTGAATAGAAAAAGAAGCGGCGTTCCGTGAAACTTCCGTCACCCCATGAATAGCAATTGATGAATAATGGTGATGTGGTTTTTGAGTGGACATCTGTCAACTGATATAAACAGACCCAAGGCAAGGCCCGAATACCGACTTGTTATCTTCGACGCCCGTCCTGTCTCCCTCTACGTCTGCGAGAACCAGCTGTCGGACAGCAGTTGTATATCGTCTCGATGGCAGCCACCCTCGCCAAAGCGATCCCAAAGAGCTCCGCAGTTGCGCAGGCGGAGGTTATTGACGCTCCCGTGCTACCCTATGTGAATTGGCGCAAAGACCCAGGATTGAGGAATTGTACTTTTATGCCGCTATCATTTGTGTCGCTTCTGCAACGACTGGTTATGACGGGTACGTTCACTCGCTTCCAGAACATTGGCCTTCCCGACCAAATAACTCTTTCGTGCAGATCTATGTTGAACAATATCCGAATTCTGCCTCAATGGAACGACTACTTCGATAACCCACAAGGCTCCAATCTCGGGCTCTTGACGGCCTTGTATAGTATTGGCAGTATCGCGAGTTTGCCTATCGTGTGAGAGCAGCCATTCCCAGGATGTCATACTATATTAACGACTTCCAGACCATTTATTGCAGACCGTTTCGGTCGCAAGGTCGCAATTATTGGGGATGTATTCTCATGATCATTGCTGCAGGCATCCAAGGCGCGTCTCAGAATCTTGCAAGTGAGTTTCCTTAACGCGGTATGACTTCTCAATGCGACGCTCATGGTATTTAGTGTTCAAGGGGGCTCGCTTTCTTATGGGTTTTGGAAACAGCATGGCACAACTCTCCGCCCCGCTTCTCCTCACAGAGCTATGTCATCCCCAACACAGAGGTCGTGTTACAGCCATTTATAACTGCCTCTGGAATCTCGGTTCGATCGGTACGAAACCAGCTCGCTACCCGTAGATAGCACTGAATTTTCGACTGACACAGTGAATACCTGGCTGACATTCGGCACGAGGAGGATTCCGAGTACCTGGTCTTGGAGAATCCCAACGATCATTCAAGGTGGTCCATCGGTTATCCAGCTTCTCTTCATCTTCTTCATTCCCGAAAGTCCTCGTTGGCTCATCTCGAAGAACCGCCCAGAAGAAGCTCTCAAAATCCTGGCCAAATACCACGCAAATGGAAATGCCAACGACCCCACAGTTCAATTCGAGTACGCCGAAATGAGAGAAACACTTCGATTGGAGTTTCAGTACAAGAAAACGAGCAGCTACTTCGATTTCTTGAAGACTCGCGGGAATAGATATCGCTTATTGCTCATCATCAGTCTCGGGCTCTTCTCGCAGTGGAGTGGGAACGGCCTCGTCAGTTATTACGCCACAAATGTCTACGACAGTGTTGGTATCACAAGTCCAAACTCCCAGCTCGGAATCAACGGTGGTCTGTCGATCCTCAGCTTGATCGTCAGTGTAACATTTGCGCTGCTGTGCGATAGAGTCGGACGTCGACCGCTGTTCCTTGCAGCCACCATCGGTAAGCATCGAAGCTCAACGTCGAACTTGATTTCTGACTTGGATCCGACAGGGATGCTGATTTGTTTCATTGGCTGGACAGTCTGTTCTGCCGTCTATCAAGATTCGGGAAATGCTGGTGCTGGACGTGCAGTCATCGCGTTTATCTGGCTATTCAGTGTCAGTTACGCCTTGGCATGGTCAGGCCTTTTGGTGGCCTACACCGTCGAGATCATGCCTTTCAAGATAAGAGCAAAGGGATTGATGGTTATGAATTTCTGGATTCAGGTTGCACTGGTGATCAATCAGTACGTCCAGCCATGTTGCGCATTAGTAGTGGAATCTTGGGATTTATCCTGGGAATACGTCTTACTACGCCACATTCTCCAAATATTCACAACTTTCACTGACCGTTCCTCACACAGATATGTGAACCCACTCGGCTTCCAACACTTGAATCCCAACTGGAAGCTCTACACGATCTATACTGTGAGTTTTGGAATCTTTATACGGACCTCGTTCAATATTCTTCCGCTTGTAATAGTGCTGGATTGCTGTGAGTATTGGGATATCTATAACAATCTCTGTCTTGACGTGCTGACAACCGATAGTTCGAACTCGTGTTCATATACATCTTCTACGTCGAAACGAAAGGACCGACTCTGGAAGAGATTGCCAGGATATTCGATGGAGAGGAGGCTGAGGTTGCCCAGGTTGATATCGCCGAGAAAGTCACTCGCGATGACTCCATGGAGAAGGTTGGCGTTCCGGACGAGCAAAAGGAATCACCTTCTGTATAAATTACGTTGTATGTCCACCCGTCTAAAGGTTTATCTGGGCGTATGGGTGATATACTGTGTAAAAACTACCCTTATTTAACATCTTTTTTGGCTGTTTTGTTCGCAAAAGTCAATGCAACTTTCTAGGTTGCGTTCAACTTTTTGCGCCTGGCGGACGGAGCTTTCGTCCAAGTTAAATGCGGCGCTCGTGGGTTTTCTTCCCGCACATTCCCGCCGCCCGCCGGATGAGCGTGCGTACCGCAGGAAAAAACCCACCTCTTCGCGTATCTGGACCTGTAGTGCCCAGGCATAGCTGGGGATATGATACATCACATTGTTCTGAATAGGACTGCCCACTGTCCCGTAAACGGGGACGACCGTCAATCTCAAGACCCGCGACGGGTACGGGCCGTCATAAAAATGGCCATCATTTCTTCCTGGAGACCAGCTGACGGGACGGGACGGCAAAAATACGGCCGTCAACCGTAAATTGACGGGACGATCCCGAGGTGCGCGAAATTGGGCATTAAATTTGAAATCCCAAGTATATGAAGGAGTGGAATGTACCAATAGTACCCCGAGATGTACCAGTACAGTTCCTGTGCCAGGCTTCCACAGAAACCGGTGCATTGAAGACCAGCCATGTTCATTCACGTGAGTGGTTGGGAATATAGAACCCCCGTGAAGCCTCTCTTTGATGCCCGTATCACTTCGGGTGACTGAATGACTTTGCAGAATTGATCTACAACTGATTTTTTTTCAGTTTTGGAAGAGATGAAGGTGAAATTCCTACTTACACCGACCCAACCCGGATGCGGCCATCAACGGTGGCACTTTGCCGGGACGGGCGGCAATTTTGCCGTCCCGTACCGCCCCGTAAATTTCATCCGGGAAATGCTCGACGGGACGGGACGGCATGCCGTTGACGGCCCCCGTCACACCCGTAAATACGGGGACGGTGGGCAGCCCTAGTTCTGGAGGAGAACAACGGCATGGTGTATCAGGGACTCTCGCCAGAACACGGCATGATGCATCACTTGAGAACACGTACCGTTTCCGGAATTTTTCCGTACCTGCGTGCCCGCTCGCCGTTGCCCGCCGCCAGCTGGAGTAATGACGAGAAGAATGGGAGTGGAAGTGGGTGACTCCTATCATCAGGGAGCGAGTCCCATTCTTGATGGCACGACAATGGGACTGACACTCCAACGATGGGACTCGAGCCTATAACTCGAGCGATCAATAATGGGACTTGATATCTCGACAATGCAGCAATCAAATCTGTGACTGATGTCCGTCCCAAGATATGGACACCCCGGAACCGTTCAATTACTCATCGAGGAAGGGGCCGACGTGAACGCACGGGATCAGCTATTTCAAGTCCGCAGTTGAAAAAGAGAAGGCTATGAAAGAAGTATGGCCCGGGCTCGAGTCGAACGAGAATCTCCTCAGGCTGTCGACTTCTTAATCACATCGCATGGTATGCAGATGCGGACCCTCCGCTACTGGGCCTTCTTCTCCTCCCCTTTGACCTTGCTTTGCCCAAAATTTGCGTTGAGCTAGGGGAAAAAAAACCCAAGAAACCGATAATGGCCCAGGCTCGAGTCGAACGAGCGGCTCCCGCTGACTTCGATATTCCTCAGAATTGGAAGCGGGCAGCGGACCGTTCGCTACCGGGGCTTCCTCCCCTTCCTACCACCCTCTCTAGATCAGAATTTGCGCAGACAGATTTAAAAAAAAAAGTGGAAGACATGGATGGCCGAGGTTCGAGTCGAACGAGCGTCCCGCTGACTTGCATACTCCCAAGCAAACCGCTTGATGCAGGTGCAGAAAACCGTCCGCTACCGGGCCTTCTAATCTTCTTTACAGACTCGGATAGCTCAGAATCTTCCATAGCCAAAAAAAGAAAGAAAGAAAGTCAATATCCTAGACCTATGGCCCAGGCTCGAGTCGAACGAGCACATCCCGCAGAAATGAAGCTAATCCGCAGCAGGTGCGGACCGTCCGCTACCGGGCCTTTTTTCTGCTATCTGTGAGCTTGGGTGAGTCAGCAATTTTTCCAGCTGAAGGCAAAAGAAATACTTATACTCCAGAATGGCCGAGTCTCGGACCCTCGGTGTCTTCTGCTGACTTTCTCTCAAGTGTGGTTTGTGAGCAAGTGCGGACTTCCCGCCACCAGGCCTTGGTTTGGTACATGTGAGCTTGGGTAAATCAGACTTTTGCGCAAACTCAAAAAAAGAGAACTATACACAAGCAATATGGCCCAGGCTCGAGTCGAACGAGCACTCCTGCATATGGAATTAGCAGACGTATTGGACGTAGGCGCGGAAACCGCCCGCTACCAGGCCTTGCTTTGCATACCTTGGACCCAGCATTTATGCACCATTTATTTCCATTGCAAAACTCTCCCCGTGTTTTAAAACCGTGAGCGCATCGCCCAGGCTCGAGGAGAACAAGAACCTCTGATATATTAGCGACTTTTGCCCTGCCAAAAAAAAAGAAAAAAGACGTACATGAAGAATGGCCCCAGGCTCGAGTCGAACGAGCGTCCCGCTGACTTGCATACTCCCAAGCAAATTGATGCAGGTGCGGAACCGTCCGCTACCGGGCCTTCCTCCCCTCCCTTCTGCCTTCACTATCCCAGGCATTTTGCTCCGCATTTGAAAAAACCGAGGGACCGACATATGGCCCGGGCTCGAGTCGAACGAGCACACCCGCAGAAATCGAGATACCCCAAGAATTGAAAGCAGGCGCGGACCGTCCGCTACCGGGCCTTTTTTCTGCTATCTGTGAGCTTGGGTGAATTAGCAATTTTCCACTCAGCCAGAAAAAAACACGCTCCACGAAGAATGGCCCAGGCTCGAGTCGAACGAGCGCTCCTGCTGACTTCATTGACCCCGATGCATGGGACGCAGACGCAGACCGTCCGCCACTGGGCCTTGTTCTCATCCCTGCGAACTCCTCTAGCTCTATGATTTCTGCTGCGCCCAAAAAAGAGGGGGAGCGACGGATAACGGCCCAGGCTCGAGTCGAACGAGCGGCTCCTGCCGACTTCTTATAACCTCGTAACTCATAATCGAGTGCAGGCGCGGACCGTCCGCTACTGGGCCTCTTTCTGCCATCTGTGAGCTTGGGTAAGAAAAAGAAATTCCTGCATTCCAGAATGGCCCAGGCTCGAATCGAACGAGCACCCTCTGCATACTATAATCCCAACAGTGGAGCTAGTGCAGGTGCGAACGATCCGCTACCGGACCTTCTCTCCATCCCTTTTGACCTCCCTTTGATCAACAATTTTCCTGGAGGCAGAGAAAAAAATGGAGATGAATGAAGAATGGCCCAGGCTCGAGTCGAACGAGCACTCCCGCACAATCGGAGAAAACCCAAGAATTGAAAGCAAGCGCGGAAACCGTCCGCTACCGGGCCTTTTTTTGCTAACTGTGAGCTCGGTGAGATCTGAATGAATTCAAATGGGCAGTCAGATCTAGTCAGATCTAGAATCAAGCGAACTGAGACAACTTGAAGTAAAAGCTTCGAGAAGGTCGTTGTGGCGCCCGTTTGATTCGCGATATATTATTGCCTCCGAACTTGAGGAGGTTCAAGGTTGGGATTGTAACGTTAAACACAGCGTGAGGGGTAGACAAGTAGGTCCGAGTTACGGCATACCGCAGCAGCGCAGCGGAGATGCAGATGGAGTAGCACAGATGTTGAGTTAACGTTCAGAGACAGCAATTAAACTTCATATTAGAATCATAACAGATTGAAAGACGCCAGTCACTGGGAGAAATTTCGGTGGCGTCGGCGCTTCGTGATTGGCAGGTTTATTGGAAGTTCAGGTCGCCAACGAGGCTTGCTTATCGAGTCGAGGGACAAGAGGCCAAACGCGTCGGTGTTAGTTGCGAGCTCGGATCCGGAGTTGCGACACGCAGCGGGGAAAGGCGGGAAGGAAGACAGATTGGCGCTCCGGCGCCTTTGCGACGAAAATATTGGTGGCGTTGTTCGTTGATTGGCGGGATTGATAGGGGTCTTGAATTTTCACAGTGGACCTGGACTTGGGGCCTTGTGAGACGCAGAGTGTCCCTGAGGTGAGGGGTCAGACGAAGACGAAGCCCGTAGAACCTCGAAGGTTTCGTTGTGCTTGTAAGTTGTGGGGGGAGAGAAAGAGGGTTAGACGCTAGTAGCTATAGCGTCCGAAGCCCAAAAAGGGAAAATGCACATCACGAGATTCACGTGGTGTGAAGTACTCGGATCCGGGTCGCACAGGCGGGTGGTGGACGTGCGGTGCGCTTGCGACTTGCTCTCACCACCACCACGAACCCCGGCGTCGGTGGTAGCCATCGTAGGGACTGGCTAGTTGGCTGCGGCTGTTGTGTTGCTGTCGTGCTGCTGTCGAGTCATCTCTGTATTCGGATCTCTTCTGGCATTCGGCATCCTCTAGTTCTTGGACTTCGAGTACTCGATAACTCGTCTTCTGAGGATTCGGCTCACGCACTCGAGCCTCGATACCTGGACACCCGTGCCTTGATACCTGGCACCTCGATAGCTTGGCTCACCCATGGGCCAACCCGTCTCGAAAGACTCGCGCACCGAAAAAGCGCGCTCGGACGCCATCGACCGGCAGATCCACGAAGATTCCAAACGGTACAAGAAGGAGTGCAAGATCCTCCTCCTCGGCTCGGGCGAGTCCGGCAAGAGCACCATCGTCAAGCAGATGAAGATCATCCACCAGGCGGGCTACGACACGCGCGCGCGCGCCGAGTTCCGCACCACTATCTACAAGAACGTGCTTGACTCCGCCGTGACGCTCGCACGGGTCGTAAGGAGAGTGGGCGTGGGGAGCTTGGGGGAGGCGGAGGGGGTGTATGCGGCGCGGCTGCTTGCGGCGTTTCCGGCGCTGCCGGGGGAGGAGGAGGGGAGCAGCGAGGAGGGGGGCGAGGACGGGGAGATCGAGGTCGGGATCGACCCCGTGCCGTTCACGCGGATATCCGAGCGCGAGCGCGATCCGGGCAGGGACAGGGAGGGCGGGGGCATCCCGACGGGGCGCGTGAGCGCGCGGCCGCCCACATCGGAGGGCGTGCCGAGCGCCGCGGCGGACGTGCTCGCGCAGACGCACGCGGTGCTCACCCCCGCGCTCGCGGACGCCATTTTCCACGTCGCGCGCGTCCCAGCGGTGGAACGGGTGGTGGACGAGCACCCCGCGGAGTTTTATCTGATGGACAGCGCGTCATAGTGAGTCTTTCTATTCTCCTTGTATATGTGAAGAGCGCGATACTGATGAGATGTGTTTACAGCTTCTTCGCCTCGATCCACCGCATCGCGCACCCGACGTATGTCCCCTCCGAGGAGGACGTCCTCCGCGCGCGCGCCAAGAGCACCGCGATCATCGAGACGCGGTTTTGGATGGGGGATTTGTCGTGAGTCTCGTATTTTTCTACTCTTTTTTTCTTCTTCTCTTCTGCTCGTGTCGTGTACCTTGCGACAACCGTACCCCTTACCCCGCATCACGCCTCCTGTTGCCCCGCATCTCCTTGACGGCCCCTCCTCTCCTCCCTCTTCCTCTCGTCCATCTCCCTCCACCCCCATTCGCAGCCGCGCGATCGTCTTCCTCCCCCCTCCCTTTGGTACCGTCTGCCCGCCCGTCTGTTACTCCCCATGCCGTCCCTCGCATCGCGCGCCTTCGTCCTCTGCCACGCGCGCGCTCCTGTCCGGATCCATATCCAATTCAATTCCCCACATCTTCCCTCCCCGATCCTCTTCTCCTTCGGACGCGTCGTCCGCGCCTCCGTCGTCGTCCTCCCTCTCCCACACTCCCCTTGCGTGGACGCCGCATATTCCCTTCATGCGTCCTCCACTTCACGCGTCCTCCACTCCACGCAGACGTGTCCGGTGCACCCTCCTTCCCTATCTCCCCCTCCTCTACCTGTCCCCCGCACGCCCACGTCCGTCATCGCGTTCCGGCCTTTCTGCTCCTTCGTTCGACCCGTCGATCACGTCCTTCTCCTTCCCCTTCCGTCCGCGCCATTCCCACCCGCGCCCCCATTCCCGCGCCCTCCCTTGCGCGCATACGGTCCCTCGCTCCTCCCGTTCTATCCTGCGCGCCTTTATCTCCCACTCTCGTCCTCGTCTCGTTCTTGCGCGCCATCTGCCCATCCCCTCCCGCCCCCGTCTTTCCCTTCTTCGCTCTTCCTTGTCCGTGTCCACGTCCACATTCCCGTCCCCGTCCCTACACCGTCGTCGTCCCGCACCCATTCATTCCTTGCCCTTATCCCGCTCCACCCTCACTTCCCCTCCGTCCTCGTCCTCCGCCTCACACCTCCCTCCGTCCACACTCATTCATTCCTTCTCTGTGTTCCTGTTCCTGTCCGTTCCCGTCCCTGGTCGTCCGTCTTCCCCCTCCTTTTCTGCCTGTTCCTGTTCCTGGCCGCTCCATTCGCGTCCCCGATGTCCGCGCCCTCGTTTCTGCGCGCCCCACGCCTTCCGCGCGTGTCTCCCCTCCCCTCCCCTCCCCCGGCTCGTTATTCCCGCGCCGTCCTCTCAGCATCCCCTCCACGTCCTCACACACTCCATTCCCCCACCCCGTCTGCACCGTCCCCGTCCTCCCTGCATCCCGTGCTCGCCTTTCCTCCCCGCGTCCCCGTCGTCCGTCCTGCTCCCGGGCGCAGAGACAGATGCGCGCGCTCCATCTTATCCGGATTCCGCGTCCCCTTCGCTCCCTCCCCTCTTTTCTGCCTTCTGCTCCTTTACACGCCACTGCGCCTCTTATCACCGCTTCTCTCCTCCTTTCTCCATCATCTTTTGCTTCTGCTCTCCCTTTCTCATATCTTCCGCCCTTTAACCTCTTCTCTCTGCGAACGAGCAAATGCGTACGATGCTGACATCACGGACAGGATCCACATGTTCGACGTCGGCGGGCAGCGCTCGGAGCGGAAGAAGTGGATACATTGTTTTGAGAGGTGCGTCTCTGCCCTCTGCTCACTCTTTCCCCTTTCTCCGTTCCACTGCTTCGCTTCCTTCGATGTTTCCCCTTTTTCTTGCTGGGAGACGAGGCTGCCCTATTCCTGAGGCGGCAGGGGATGCGGTGTTTCGAGGGCCGGGCAGGACGCGGTATGTGGAGGGCGCCGCGACCGTGGCAGCAGGAGGGCTGAGAGTCGGGCGCGGAGAGCCGGTGTGGTGAGCCGATGTGGAGACGGGCGCACGGCTGCTGCGAGCTGTTCCCTCTGGAGGCGTCGTGGAGGGCGCCGCTGGCAGGAGTGGGGGCACTGGCGAGAGTGGGCCGCGAGGGCGCCGTGGAGGCCGTCGTGGAGGGCCTGTACGTCTCGGCGCGCATCCTCCCCGCGAGGACGTGGGACCCTCTGAGTCCGGGTGGAGCGACGCGCTGGAAGTCGAGTGGGGCGTTGCCGAGGACGAGATGCACTCCGCGACCGCAAGACGCCCGGCCAACAACTGGAGCGAGACGCACGGCCACCAACACACCAACATAAGCACCTGCGAGCGCTCATAATGGCGGCCTACACGAGGGAGTGGAAGGACCTCCGCAGCGCCCGCTCTCCGCCCCGTAGCCCATCGGAGACGGCGGTGTATTAGCGGCGGACGCGTTCGCCGGTTGTGGTGGAGCCTGTCCTTCGCGTGGCACGATGTAGAGCAGAGTCGTCGGCGTGGTCGAGTGGAGAGGCAGCGTGTGGCCGAGGCTGGGCTGCTGACGTGGCGCCGTGCTCGGCGGACAGGGCCGCTCGAGGCCCCGCTGTCGAGAACGCAGACGCTACGCGAGCGGTCGGTTAGCGCGGGGGAGGCGTAGTCGCGGCGCGATGTGGTGGGCGGTCCCCGCGGAGGGCCCCGTGGAGAGCGCCGCTAGTGAGAGTGGAGACGCTGGCAAGAGGGAGGGGCTGGTGGATGGCCCTCGGGAGCGCGTGCGAGGGTGTCGGCGTCGGCGTGGGGCGTCCCGCGGAGGGCGAGGGCGTGCGATGCGAGGACGTCCACGTGCGTCGGTGTCGCGGAGCCGTGAGGCGAGTGGCGGAGCCCCTGCTTTCGTCCCGTCGTGCGCCTCCTGCGTCGCCCCTTCGCCCCCATCCCTGCTGGGGCGCCCCTACCTTTCTCCCTTCCCCCTCATCTCTCTTTTATCTCATCTACCCCCCGTCCGTATCTCGTACTGACAAACGGCCCCTGCAGCGTCACGAGCATCATCTTCTGCACGGCGCTGAGCGAGTACGACCAGGTGCTCGAGGAAGAGCGGAGAGTGGTGCGTGTACTTTTCTATTCTATTCGATTCTTTCTCTGTTTGGCTTTTGGAGAGGGGAGATGGAAGAGCGGGGTGAGCGGACGTCCTGCAGTCGAGCCCAAGGAGTGGGGGGTGGATGCGGAACGTGGCGGGGTGACACGCCTCGCGGAGGAGCAGCGCAGCCTCGGCGGTTGGCGGTGTCTCGAGGACG